TAGAAGGAGGAATTACAGATCACTAGAAAGTCTCTCAGTGAAGAATGAAATGGCAGCAGCCATCCTTCTAGAATCATAGAGACCACAAGCGAGTTCTCCACAAAACTGAGTCCAGGAGAATAGAGCAGAAGAGTCTTCAGTTCCTGACGGGCATACTGGACCTTTGAGTCAGATCACCTGTACCTCACCGTTAGGATGCTGGCAGTTTACTTTCCAGTTCTTGGATGCGCTTCTGCTGGAATTAATAACAGGTGTCAGCAGACACAAGCTTCATCGTGCAGGCTTCTTGTGTTACTCAGCACAGTTAAAATTTATCCATTTCCGTGGGAACCAGGGCATTTTTAAGAAGCAATACCTAGTCTGTATTTGTTTGTGAGAGATTTTGGTTTGTTAATATAATGCACTTTGTAAAACAAATGAACAATATTCTGCTTGAAGGTAAAATCTTTAAAAATGGCATCTTGTATGTCTAGGTGAAATTGATTTAAACTTTCAGAATAAAAGGGAATCCAGAGAAATAATTTTAGTTATTATTTCAGAGTACTTGCAGGTCTACCTGACTGTTCTTTGCTTTTTTTCCTGTCTCTCTTTATAGTTGTTTTTAATGTTAGTCTGAATATTGTCTCATTTTTAGAATGATATTCTAAGATTGTAAAGAGACTGTATGGGCTGTGTCTTTCTCTGGTTCTGTAGTGAGTGCAATGCTCTTTACCCAAAAAAGCAAGAGTTTCAAATAAGAGTATTTAATGAGATTTGGGAAGGGAGTCATTCTTCTGTGCATTATTACAGCTGTGTCTAACTTTTTATAGCTAAAGAGCTGTCCTCTTATACATACTCACCAAGATGTCCAGTAGCAAAAGAGAATGCATCACAGTGGATCCAATACAAGGGTCACTGTTACATTTCTGACCAGGCACTGCACAGTTTCTCAGAGGCCAAGCAGTTGTGTTCAGAACTTGGTGAGTTAAAATTCATTGATTTTTCTTTGACTCAATGATTTACTTCTTAGAAATGCTTCCTAAGGAAATAATCTGAAATAATGATTGAATTTTTAAAATATTTTTAAAGCACTCACTCTTTATAATGGTTTTATAATCTAATTTCCCAATGGTAATTGCCTACTGTAGAAATAGTTAAGTATTTTATGACAAAGGAGCTCAGTGGAATTTTGGGATAGCTGTTAAAAGTTATTACTGTAAGAATAAGTACATGGAAAATGAAAGGGGGAAGAAGTGTCACAGAAGAAGCTAAGTGAACTGTTAAGTAAAAATACTGACAAATGAATTGAAATGGTTTTAAATATAGCTAGATATGCCTAAATGATGAGGTAAAATTTTTATAAAGTTAGCTAAATAGTATAAATAAAATACAGATTTTCATTACCTAGTTACTAATCAGTAATGTTAGCCTAACCAAGGCAACAAAGTCAAAAAAGCATGGGCACTATGGTTTCTGCAATGCGATTAACCCATATCCTCTGGACATCAAAAGGGACCAGGCTTTTTGTCTTCAGATTTTGCTGTTTTAGAGAGAGCAGCAGTGATTGGCTGTGGCCCATGATAAATGTCTCCTATAGCCAAACTATAAAGTGACCTCTAAACAACCCATCTAGAGTATTTCAGAGACCCAAATTGTTCACCTGCCTCCTCAGGTAGTAGTTTAGCCAGACAGATGTCATTTATTTATTTTGCTAAGTGTGATTAAAGTGTCCTAGTTATTGCAGAACTACACAGTGGGAACTGTTGTGTGTTATGCCTATGCTCCCATGATGGCTACACATATGTATGTTCTTCCTAAAAGAGCAAATAGAAAAGTTTGTTATAAATACAGTATGTGGATTAAACACTGAAACCTTTGAAGCAGGAAGGTCTGGGTTCAAATATCAGTCCCCACAGGTCCTAGCAAAATGACATTTACATAATTATTTTGCTTTTCTCATCTGAACCATGAGAATGAAAAGAGCCCTTCCTTCCAAGGTTGGTGGAGGTTGGGATGTTGTAGGAATAAATGAAAGGAGATAATGGACACTGTGCCCTGCAGATAGTGATCTCTCAAAATCTTATTAGAAAGGTCGAGTTTGACTTTCCGTTTCTGTAACGGACTAGCTATATAAATGAACAACTTACTTAATATCCTTGAGTTTCCGTTTTTCCTCAACTGTAAAACAGTGATGATACCATCCCCTGTAGGGTTGTATAATATTAAATAAGGCTTACGAAAGCATCTGCATGGTGGTGGTCTGGAAGCTGCCCCACACCACAAAAATGACGGTTCAATAAGGCTAGACTTTTTGCCGCTGAAAGCTATTTGATTCCACTTGTGATTATTATTATTATTATTATTAGTTATTATTTTATTTCTATTATATATCTCATTCTGGTGAAAATCCTGTATTTTCTCTGGATTTACCTAGCAAACTCCAAGAACACTCACTCAATTCCATACTATCATAAGGAACTTACAATGGTCCTAACCAAGTATATTTATGTGTAAGTTAATACTAAAAGGAGGGCTAATGCTCCCCAGCATCCCAAACCTATTGGCTTTTTTTATTTTTATTTTTATTTATTTATTTTTTTGACAGGCAGAGTTAGACAGTGAGAGAGAGAGAAAAAGAGAGAAAGGTCTTCTTTTTGCCATTGGTTCACCCCCAAAGTGGCCGCCACGGCCGGCGCGTTGCGGCCGGCACACGCCGATCTGAAGCCAGGAGCCAGGTGTTTCCTCCTGGTCTCCCATGCGGGTGCAGGGCCCAAGGACCTAGGCCATCCTCCACTGCCTTCCCGGGCCACAGCAGAGAGCCAGACTGGAAGAGGAGCAGCCAAGACAGAATCTGGCGCCCCGACAGGGACTAGAACCCAGTGTGCCGGCGCCGCAGGTGGAGGATTAGCCTAGTGAACCATGGCGTCAGCCCCTATTGGCTTTTGTTTTCATTTACCATCACAGGTTTAAAACTAAGTAGTTAGACAAAAAAGCGTTGTTGAAGTAAGAGTACTGAAAATCCTTAAGATACACTTTTTCTTCATCACATACTCTCTTTTATTATGACTAGCTGTTCAAGCACAGAGGTCTCACTGCTTCGGCAGTGCCAAGATCCAAAACTATTGCCAGATAAATATTTTGGAAAAAAAAAAAAAAACAAAAAAAAACAGGGAATTTCTCTATACAAAGTTTTAATCTGGAAATATTTCTAACTTTTTTTGAAGTACTTTTAAAATTTTGGTATAAATGCCAGTCTTTTTTTTTTAACTTTTATTTAATGAATATAAATTTCCAAAGTACAGAATATGGATTACAATGGCTTCCCCCTCATAACGTCCCTCCCACCCACAACCCTCCCTTTTCCCACTCCCTCTCCCCTTCCATTCACATCAAGATTCATTTTCGATTCTCTTTATATACAGAAGATCAGTTTAGCATACATTAAGTAAAGATTTCAACAGTTTGCTCCCACACAGAAACATAAAGTGAAAAATACTGTTTGAGTACTAGTTAGAGCATTAAATCTCAATGTACAGCACACTAAGGACAAAGATCCTACATGAGGAGTAAGTGCACAGTGACTCCTGTGGTTGACTTAACAAATTGACACTCTTGTTTACGGCATCAGTAATCACCCTAGGCTCTTGTCATGAGCTGCCAAGGCTATGGAAGCCCCCTGAGTTCACTGACTCTGATCATATTTAGACAAGGCCATGGTCAAAGTGGAAGTTCTCTCCTCCCTTCAGAAAAAGGTACCTCCTTCTTTGATGACCCATTCTTTCCACTGGGATCTCACTCGCGGAGATCTTACATTTAGGTTTTTTTTTCCCCCAGAGTGTCTTGGCTTTCCATGCCTGAAATACTCTCATGGGCATTTCAGCTGGATCCGCATGCCTTAAGGAAATGCCAGTCTTTAAAAGCAGACTCTGTGTAAAGCTTGAATTTCTGAATGATTCTGTTCATAATATTTTTTTCCATATGGCTCATTCAGAATAAATAACTTTCCTAGTTTTCATAAAGCTAATTAATTGGTTTGTTTTCCTTCAACAGATCATTCTGCAACTATTGTTACCATAGAGGATGAAGAGGAGAATAAATTTGTGAGCAGACTGATGAGGGAAAATAATAATATTACCATGAGAGTTTGGCTTGGATTATCCCAGAGTTCTGCTGGTAAGTGACACGTTAGTGTGCACAGTTAAAAGAGTTCAGACTTGTCCCAAACACCAAGTCAGTCCTGCTGAAGAATGTCAGGTGGTTGTCTGTTCTTACTGATAACTACACCAACTTTACCAGCTGTTCTAGAAGTCTATCAATTTTAAGTGAGTATAGACTTATTAGTGATGCTAGAGACCACTAATGAAATAGGAAGTCAGGCTAAGCCCATTGGAATTGTAGGGGTTTATTTCTAAGATCTTTGGATCTACCCCAGGATTTTTTTCCTCTTTTGAAAATGTCTCTCTTGCCTGTCTACTCACAAGAAACCCATGACTGACTTCCCTTACAGTTCTCGTGGCTGTCACCCCATAGTTGTAGCTCATAATTCTATTATTTGAAAAGTTACCTTCTTGTCATCCCTTTATCTCTCAAAATATTTTTACCACAGTAGAGCTTTTTTGTAAACAAGCTTAGTAAAATTGCAGGAAATTAACTCAAAGGGAATTTATGGGAAAATTTTCCAGTAAGCAATAATAGATATTAGACTGAACTTGGAATTGATAATGAATTTGAGTATAAATTTGATAGAAGAGTGGGAAATATTTTATATTTTACACAAAACTGAATTTATAATTTTTTAAATATTAATTCTAAAATGTTATAGACTTGTCAAAAATGATTGAGTTTGAATTTGGCCAACTGAATGAATTACAAATTGTGTTTATTCTATCACCACAAGGTGGTGCCATCTCAACCAGAAAACAAAAATGGAGCCATGGAGGGATGGAGGCTTACCTTCCTGGGCCACTTTAGACCCTTCTTGTTCTACCAGTATATCTAATTATATGAGCCTTTTAAATGGAGAAGAGGGAACAAGTCCTTAAAAATCTATCCCTTGTAGGGCTAGTGCCGTGGCTCACTTGGTTAATCCTCTGCCTGAGGTGCCGGCATCCTATATAGACACCAGGTTCTAGTCTTGGTTGCTCCTCTTCCAGTCCAGCTCTCTGCTGTGGCCCGGGAAGGCAGCGGAGCATGGCCCAAGTGCTTGGGCCCTGAACCCGCATGGGAGACCAGGAGGAAGCACCTGGCTCCTGGCTTCGGATTGGTGCAGTGGGGGCCGTGGCGGCCATTTGGGGAGTGAACCAATGGAAGGAAGACCTTTCTCTCTGTCTCTCTCTCTCACCATCTATAACTCTACCTGTCAAAAAAAAAAAAATCTATCTCTTACAATCCTCACTTGAATTTAAATACTATGTTCTATGTCAGTGCTGTGCAGCAGAATTTTGTGCAAAGAAAGAAATGTTCTATATTTACCCTGTCCAATATAATAATGACTAGCCACATGTGACTCTTTTTTTTAAAGATTTATTTATTTATTTATCTTAAAGTCAGAGTTACAAAAAGAGAGAAGGAGAGATAAAGAGTCTTCTATCCATTGGTTCACTCCCCAATTGACCACAACGGCTGGAGCTGCGCCGATCCAAAGCCAGGAGCCAGGAGCTTCCTCCAAGTCTCCCACATGGGTGCAGGGGCCCAAGGACTTGGGCCATCTTCTACTGTTTTCCCAGGCCATAGCAGAGACCTGGATTGGAAATGGAGCAGCTGGGGCTCAAACCGGGGCCCATATGGGATGCCAGCACTGCAGGTGGCAGCTTTACCCACTATGCCACAGCGCCAGCCACATCTTTAAAAAAAAAAAAAAAAAGATTTACTTATTTGAAATTCAGCGTTACAGGGCAGCGGGGGTAGGGGGAGATGAGAGATGAATGATACCTTCCATCCACTGGTTCACTTCCAAAACGGGCACAACGGCCAAAACTAGGAGTTAGGAGTTTCTTCTGGGTCTCCCACATGGATGCAGGAGCCCAAGCACTTGGGCCATCCTCTGCTGCATTCCCAGGTGCTTTAACAGAGATCTGGATCAGAAGTACAGCAGATGGAACTCAAACGGGTGCCCTTGTGGAATGCTGGCTCATGACCCGCCATGTCACAACACCATCCCCCAACACATGACTCTTGACCACTTGAAATATGACGAGTGCAGCTAAAGAACTGAGTACTGATTTAAACTTTTTTCCCTTTTTAAGGAATTTCATTTTGGATAATAGCTATCATATTGGACAGTACAGTTCTAAGTAAAATGAATGACATGAACTATAAATTTAGTAGTTTTGTGGCAATAGATATAGTTGTATTTAATTTGTTTGTTTAGATCAATCCTGGAATTGGTTGGATGGATCAGAAGTGACGTTTGTCAAATGGGAAAATAAAAGCAATAGTGATGGTGGAAAATGTAGCATTTTGTTAGCTTCAAATGAAACTTGGAAAAAAGTTGAATGTTCTCATGGCTATGGAAGAGTGGTCTGCCAAGTTCCTCTGAGTAAGTATGTAACCTGTCCTGAAGGAAGCTTCTTGCAGAACAGGTCAGGAAATAAATGTGCAGTCCACTTATATGCAGAATACTGTACTTGGCCCTGAAGTCTTTAGTCCTGAAAGTGTATCCAAACACCTGCATAAAAATTATACCACAAGACAGTAAACGTAGAAGATGTCCAAGGCTCCCAAATGAAACTATTCAACAATCTAAACTTTGTATAGTTCTTTTCTGACTATCCTAGATTAAGTTATTAGGGAAGATGTGTAAGAGCAGAAAATGCTGAAGCTGAAAACTGAAAGGTCATCTAAATCAAGGTCAGGGACAGGTGGAGGTACCAGCTGGAGCAGATAGCCTTTAGTAGATGGCACTCGCTGAGAGCTGAAGGAGGAGCAGGAAGGCAGGCAGCTGCTGGCTCCACAGTTTTTGATGCAAAATCAAGAGTTCTGGTTTTTTCCTGAGAGGCGTGAAAAGCAACTGGAAAAAGTAGGGGGTTAGAGTGGTGTATTTCAAGAGTTCTGTTTTGTCCATGTGGATATGAGAGCCATGTGGAGATGCCTAGTGTGCAGTTGACATAGAGAAGGGAGGTCAGCTCAGAGGTGTTAAGTCACAGTGCGTCTGTGCAAAATGCAGAGAAAGAGATGGGACAGTGTTTGCATTTGGATAGCTAAGGACTAAATTAGGTCATCCTAAGGGCTTAAATCATTTTAAAGCAAATAATACTCTATTTGTCCCTAGCCAAGTCAAAGACATTTACAGCTTTAAGCAATTTGCTATCAAGTTAGGAGTAATATTCAAAAAGTGATAGTCCCAAAAGCATGTTGGAAGGACAACTGAGAATAATGAAAATGCTTTAATTTATTTGGAGGAAAATTCTTAAGGCAGTGAATAGAATTTGAATGGAAAGGAAAACATTTTAATTCGAAAAGAAAGCACTTGGGTATTTGATGATGATTTTGAAGCTATGAAGCAATCCCTTTTCATTGTATCTAATTGGTACACAGCTTAAGGCTGTGTCACACGCTTCATGTATGAAATTAATAATAATGATTACTTTTGCATTCGCTCTTCCAATGTCAAACCTTTCCCTGTACCAGGCCCTGACTACAGAGGAATAGCTATCACATTTGCTGTGCTCGGTGTCCTAGTGCTCGTCAGTGGACTGATCTGGTTCCTCTTCCTAAGAAACCGTTTCCACTGGAGAGGCTTCTCATCAGTTCGGTATGAACAAGGAATGAATGAAGAGGAGATTGTGCTTCCTTCCTTCCATGACTAAATTCTTCTGAAAGTTTGCTAATTTGCACTAATGTGTAAGAAAAAATGAGCCACTTAAAAGTGTCCCAGTGTCAGTATTTACTCTGCTCCACAGTACAAGTCTGAAGTACTCTTCAGTGGTTCAGTTGCTGTTCTGGTATCCACAAGCAACTGGCCACCAAATGCCATGTTTACAAACTCTACTTAAATAGTGAACAGGTCGCAAAGCTGGAACTAAAGTCAAATGCTTTGTAGGGTAATAAGTCTAACGTGCATCTTCTTTGTGAGTATGTGGGTGGTAACGAGGATGATTTCCTTTAGTGACATTTTCAACATGTCTTGGGAAATTTAAACAGGCATAAGTACTAGGTTATCCAATTACTTTTTAATTTTAAGAGCATCTGGCCAAATGCAAACATAGAACCTCAAGGTAAAAACTCAACTGTAAATAATATTGACATTGTTTCAAAAAAAGCCGTTTGTAGCATTTGGGGAAAATTATTGAACAATAACATTTTCCCTTTGTTTAGGAAAATGATGTCTTATACTATTGCTTCTTATACTATTCCAAAGTTATGTTATACCAATGTAATCTAAAGGCAAATATTTTTGTTCATAATTCATAATAAATCAACTTTTACATATTTAAAAAGAGTATATTATTGTTAGCTTGCTTAGGTACCCTGTAGTAGTGTATTTTGTCTTTTCTGATGTAGTACATCTGAGTATTTGCTTTCTAAAGAGATTCAGTGAGGGATAAGAATGTTTGAAAAGTTCACAATTTATATGCAAGGATTTCAAAAAGTTCGTGGAAAATGCCTATTATGAAAAAATTATGCATGTTTTGTGCATGGATTTAAAAAATTTTTGGCATCAATATAAGCATAACTTTCAATGCTATTGTCCACAAACTTTTTGAAATATCCTCACTTGACACAACCTGCCAACTTTTGACCAAAATTTTTTTATTACTTTGTTGCCTTTTTACATGAAATAAACAGGAGAGCAGTCCATGAAGGAAATTTTTTGTGTAACTTGCACTTGTAAAAATGAGATTTTTGCAATAAAACTCTAAACCTTGAAGTTACTACTAAAATATTTTAAATTATGAAAAATAAAACATTGTTTTGTAATTATCACTTTAAATTTTACCACCTAGAATATATTTTTAATAATAATACCAACTGGACATGATGAATGCTTTATTCAGTGTTTATATTTGTACTTTAGAATATTTTTATATAAAATTCATAGATTTATTTTAAATTTAGTTTTTGTACTACCATAAAGTTGTAAATAATTTTCAAAGATAGCTTTAAAGTAGCCTACAATTCCCTTAAGTATTTTTCATTGAATTTGTTAGACTAGTTCTTTTGCCCTGTGATCTGTAAAATTTTAATCATTAAGATGTAAAGTTTTATCTTTTAAGTAAACATGTTGCTGTTGATCCTTACTGAAAAAAAAAATAAACCTCTGGATTGGGCTTCATTATTTTAGGCATACAGTGTGACAAGAAATAAAGTGTCCAACTATTGTAAGTAGAGCATTGTTTAGAGAGTTTGTGTTTATTTTTAAAAATGTATTTATTTGAGAGACAGAGAAACAGAAAGAGCAAAATCTCCCTCAGCTGCTGTCTCACTTCCCAAATGCCCACAACAGCCAGGGCTGTGCCAGGGTGAAGCCAGGAGCTAGGAACTGCATCTTGGTCTGCTACACATAGGTGGCAGGGCTGATTACTTGAGTTATCACCTGCTGCCTCCCAGAGTGTATGTTAACAGGAAACTGGAATAAGGAATAGAGCCTGGACTAGAAGGCAAGCACTTCAAAATGGAATGCAAGCATCCCACACAGTGTCCACTGTGTGCATTCTTTAAAGAATAAATATCATCATCCCTACATTGTTGAATGTTTGATTGTAGTTTCCTTCCAGATTGCTGTTGTTCAATATGTCTTCTAACTATCAGGTTCAGCATGGGTCCCCTCTAGGTTCTACTTTTTCCTCATTCTTCATGCTCCTCTTAGAAGATATGTCCACCACCCCCATCCCCTCCAAGGCATTCAACAACCATTTCTACACTCATAGTTCAGACATACAGTTCTAGGATCATAATTCCAACTATCCACTGGACATGAGAGTGCCTCTCAGCATGTTCAGAATTTCTCATAGTATTTTTCTGTCCTCATTTCCCCTGTTCCAGATGTCTCAGGAGAACTAGAGACAGTCCATTTCTGTATTTCCTAACTAATCCAGCTATCTCACATTGACAGAATTCATTGCTTAAAACCAGGCAGCAGGGTTGGGCGTTGTGGCCCAGTAGAATAAATTGGTGCTAGGGTCTCCTGAATCTCATATAAGAGTGTCAGATTGAGTACCAGCTACTCTGTTTCTGATCTAGTTTCTTGCTGATGATTCCTGGGAGGCAATAGATAATGGCTCAAGTGCTTGGGCCCCTGCTGCCTCCATCAAGCACACAGATGGAGTTTTGGGCTTCTGGCTGTGGCCCGGCTGTTACGGGGATTTGGAAAGTGAACTAGCAGATGAATGATATTCTCTCTCAGTCTCTCTCTCTCTCTCTGGCTGTGCGTGTATGTGTATGTGTGCCTTTCAAAGAAAATGAAAATAAATAAAAATTTTAAATTTGTTTCTACTCTAATTATATATACAACATTTTTAAAAAGACAAAATGGCAAGTAAACCAAATGATGAAGTACAGGGACAAATATAGAAGTGGTACCAATAATCACTCATCTTTTTCCTTCCTCCCCAATAGCCTGTCCCCATCCTTGATCCTAAGACTAGATATTTTCATAATTTTGGGTATTTTATCCTGAAAGTGGATACTGCAGTTTAGTAACCCCAATTTTCCCCCCACTGCTGAGATTATTTTTCTGGAGATAGAAGTTCAGATTCCTTTCACTTTGGCTCATTTAATCCTAAAAACCTCTTAGAAAAGCAAAGATCTAATTGTTATTCATTGGTCAACACTTTATCTTTCTTCAGAAGAAAACTTTTACCAGTTCTCAAAGACTTTTTGACTAGATCTTATCATCTGTGGTGTTATCTCTAATTCCCTATATATTGTAAATTAAATTAAATTGTAAACCATATCTACATCTCAACAAATTTAGGGTATAGACATGTACTTCTTGTTTCTCTCAAGCCAAATTAGTCACAAGCAGAACTTGATAAGTTTATTTCCTATTACCACTACCACTTCTTCTTTTACTTTCTTATTAGGAAGAAACTGCATCTTCCTTGTCTCCCAAGCTAGAAATCAGAAGTCATTGTCAAATCCCCTTTCCCATCTCCCAAATCCAGCCATACTGCCAGTTCAATGTCAGATGCCTCACAAAGCAGGTTTTTGCCAATGTCCAATTTCGGGTTTTCTTAATCCCCCCTACATTATTTGTAACACCTCTCACTTTAGTGGCCTTTCTCTTTCATCTGTTTCCTGCCTCCTGGACACAGAGGAGCTGAGATACACAGAGGAGAACTCCCCCTGTTTGGCTATCTTGGCCTCGCTCTCTCAGACCAAAGATGTGTTCAGCAATGCTAAGCCCAAGAGCCTTTCTCAAAGATCTTACATAAAGGCTTGGTGATCACCAAAGCTAAGAAATCTTGGGGCCTTCGTTTCTTGGCCAAATGCCCTTTTGAAGCCATATAGGGTCAGGTCAAGATTGATCTCACTGCTTAAAAATAGAGAGGTAAAATCTCAGATAAACTGCACTCTAGAAATTAGGAAACCACTGGTTATCTCAGCTTGTGAGAGTGCAGCGGAGCAGTGAAGCCTGAATCCAGATGGGAGTGAGCCAAAACACAAAAGAATTATGAACATGAGGAATGTGAGATTTGGAGAAGGATGTGGAGAGGGTGGAATGGGGTCACCGCCAGAGGGAAAAGGGGCATTGATGAAGGGTGTTTGCCCAAAAGAGGGAGGAAAGAGGCTTACAGGTTTAGAAACTGAGAGGAAAAACAACAAGAGCAAGCAGTGGGGAGAAGTTGATGAATCAGGGCAGAGGGCATCTTTAGTGGAGGCAGATGAGACAAGGGGGCAGTTTCAGGCCCACAGAAAAAGGAACTCAGGCTTGCATGGGATGGGGAAGTTCGCCTTCCCGTGTGAGGCCACTAAAGGATGCCCTGCATGAAAGAGAAAGGAGAGCAGATCAGTATTTGAAAACATTTATTTATGCCCAAGGGTCCCACTTTTCTTGTGGAGCAGAAGGTGAGGTCTTCTGTTGAGAAAGACAAAGCCGAGTGATAGGGTCTCAGCTCAAAAAGAGTAATAAAACAGTGAAATGTCCAAAGAGAGGAATAGGTAAGAGCAATAAACAAGATTAAATTAAGTAAGAGGGTCACAGAAGAGGCACACCAGGGCCCAGATGAAATGAAGAGCCGTTTATTTATAGTGACAACCATCAGGAGAATTCATTGATTTCCTCTACACATCAGTAAAGTTGAGGAAAGGAGACCGTGAAGCAAGAGGAGACTCCAGGCTCAGGGCTGGTCTGCTGGGTGCCCTGGAGAGAAAGGGGGATGGAAGCATCCAGGCTGGACGGAGAAGGGAGAACAAAAGGCTGGGAAAATGAAGTCAAGGGGCTGGAGGCTGGAATGAGACCAAGGCAAGTCAGAGCAGGAGAGAGGGGAAAATCTAAGGTCTGACGTGTGATTGGAAAGAGGAGTATCGTGAGCTTTTAGTGAAATATCCCATTATCCCACACAGAAGCAGTAAGTAGCTTGTTTTATCATCTTAGCATAAAAAAAGAGTCCGCAGGCACCAGATTAACAATGGAAAAAATAGACTTCTCCTTAGTTCAAATGACTTAGAAAAATAACACTGTTGAAATGGGGCATTTGCCTGAAGAAGATTGATGCGTAAGGGTGCCAATTCTATGGTAAACCTGAAAAATAGTTTAACACAATGTAAAACACATTGATAAAATATAGTTTGGGGCGGCACCGCGGCTCACTAGGCTAATCTTCCGCCTTGTGGCGCAGGCACACCAGGTTCTAGTCCCAGTTGGGGCACCGGATTCTGTCCCGGTTGCCCCTCTTCCAGGCCAGCTCTCTGCTGTGGCCCGGGAGTGCAGTGGAGGATGGCCCAAGAGCTTGGGCCCTGAACCCGCATGGGAGACCAGGAGAAGCACCTGGCTCCAGGCTTCGGATCAGCGCAGCGCGCCGGCTGCAGCGGCGGCCATTGGAGGGTGAACCAACAGCAAAGGAAGACCTTTCTCTCTGTCTCTCTCTCTCACTGTCCACTCTGCCTGTCAAAAAAATAAAATAAAATAAAATAATAAAATAAAATAAAATATATAGTTTGGTGTGTGAAGTAGAGGTGAAGAAGACTTTCTCAACTGCATGGAACTGATCATTTTATTTGTGTAGTTGGCAAGGCAAAGGAGAATCAAGCTGTCACAATCTTTGTTTATAAACAAAAAGTACCTTTGGAAGGATTCACTTTGGGTCTGGGTTTAGTATGTAAACTCATTGTTGAAAGTTTGAAAGGAAGAATGGAAATACATGAACAAGTCCATAAAACTGGACTCTGGGAGAGTCCAGAGCAGAAGACCTGGGCTGTGGTTCTCTCTCTCTCTCTCTTTTTTTTTTTTTTTTTTTAACTTTTATTTAATGAATATACGTTTCCAAAGTACGAATAATGGATTACTATGGCTTCCCCCCCCATACCGTCCCTCCCACCCACAACCCTCCCCTTTCCCACTCCCTCTCCCCTTCCATTCACATCAAGATTCATTTTCGATTATCTTAATATACAGAAGATCAGCTTAGTATACATTAAGTAAGGATTTCAACAGTTTGCTCCCACACAGAAACATAAAGTGAAAAATAATAGATGATTTTTTTTAATGATGATGAAATCAGATCAGACCTATTGTCATGTTTAATCCCAGTGAGAGTCAAGTTGGGAGTTGATAGTTTCTTTCTTTTCTTTTCTTTCTATGTTTTTTTTATTCTTTTTTTTTTTTTACGAGGATCATTTACAGAGGATCAGTTTAGTATGCATTAAGTAAAGATTTCAACAGTTTGCACCCCCATAGAAACACGAAGTGAAATATATTATTTGAGTACTCGTTATAGCATTAAATCTCAATGCACAGCACATTAAGGACAGAGATCCTACATGAGGAGTAAGTGCACAGTGACTCCTGTTGTTGACTTTACCAATTGACACTCCTGTCTATGGCATCAGTAATCTCCCTATGCTCCAGTCATGAGTTTCCAAGGCTATGGAAGCCCCTTGAGTTCTCCGACTCTTATCTTGTTTAGACAAGGTCATAGTCAAAGTGGAGGTTCTCTCCTCCCTTCAGAGAAAGGTACCTCCTTCTTTGAAGACCTGTTCTTTCCACTGAGATCTCACTCACAGCTCTCTCTCTCTTTCTTTTCTTTTCTTTTCTTTTTCTTTTCTTTTCTTTTCTTTTCTTTTCTTTTTTCTTTTCTTTCCTTCCTTCCTTCCTTCCTTCCTTCCTTCCTTCCTTCCTTCCTTCCTTCTTTCTTTCTCTCTCTCTCTCTCTCTCTCTCTCTCTTTCTCTTTCTCTTTCTCTCTTTCTTTTTTGGCATTTACTGTGTGCCCGTGGGTAAGTCCCATTCCTTCTGTGGGTCTCAGTTTGCTTATCAACAAATGAAGATGCCCCACCACTTCTACCACTCTGCAAATTCTCATTATACACACCCTGCTGCTCACATTTCCATTTTAGACTGACTGTCAAAGGTTTTGAACGCATTCAAAAGAGTGAGAGTGTTAGAGACTTTAATCATTGAGCGGGTTTAGAACTTTACAGAAAAATTGAGCAGAAAGTAAAGAGTTCCGATGTACCTGCTTACACACACAGCCCCAACTTCCCCTATTATTAACATCCAACATTAGCAAGGTGCATTTGTTAATGTACCACGAGCCAATAAGAACACATCATTATTACTCTAAGTCCATAGTTCACACTAGAGCTCATCTGTTTTGTACAGTCGGTGTATAGTGATACACAGCCACCATTACAGGACCGCACAGAATTATTTCATTGCTGGAATAATATACTCTGCTCCACCTGTTCATCCCTCCCTTCTTTTTTGTTCCCAACCCCTGGCAATCACTTGTGTTTTTACTGTCATAGTTTTCCGTTTTCTGAAATGTCATATAGTTAGAATCATACATTATATAATCTTTTCAGACTGGCTGCTTTCACTTAGATGTGTCTCTTATTGGTTTGATAGCTCATTTATTTTTAGCACTGAGTAATATTTCCCTACATAGCAGTACCACAGTTTGTCCTTCACTTGTTGAAGGTCATCTTGGTGTTTCCAGGTTTTGGCAGTTATGAATAAAAACTGCTGTAAAGGAGTTTTTCTGTGCGTGTAAGTTTTTGACTCATTTATGCAATACCAAGGAGTCAGATTGCTGGATCATATGATAAGAATATGGTTAATTTTAGAGGTGAGGACTGTGACAAAGCCATCAAGCTGCCACTGGGGATGCCTCTATCCCATATCTCAGGGCTGGGGTTTGAGTCCTGCCTCTGCTTCTGATCCAGTTTCCTGCTAATATGCACCCTGGGAGGCAACAGTGATGGTTCAAATACTTGGCACTCATGTGGGAGAATCAGATGGCGTTCCCAGCTACTAGTTTCATCCTGAACCAGCCCTGGCTGTTGTGGGCATTTGGAATTTGAATCAGTGGATCAGATTCTCATTCTCTCTCTCTCACTCTCATTCTGCCTTTCAAATAAACAGATAAGTAAAATTTTAAAGAGAATGTTTAACTTTTTGTTTACAAAGCAGCCAAACTGTTCTCCACAGTAGCCATATCATGCTGCATTCCCGCCAGCCATGAACAAGAGTTCTTATTGTTCCACATCTTCACCACCATGCATTATCAGTATTTGAGATTTGGATCATTTTGATAGATATGTAGTGCTATTTCATTTTTAATTTGCAGTTCCCTAAAGACATACAATGTTGAGCATCTTTTCATATGATTTCCCATCTATATATCTTCCTTTTTGAGATATCTGTTCAGATTGCCCATTTGTTAGTTGGGTCATTGTATTCTTATTGTTTAGACTAGATTTGATGGAACCCTTGCCAATGGCATGAAGCTAAAACAAGCCAAGCTTGTCTCTTGTCTGGTTCCAGAGACTCTCAGGAGCTAGGTTACAGTTGCGTGGTTCATACAAGTATGAGTGTATGAGTTTAAAGACTTTTTTTTTTGCTGTGATCATGATCACCTTTTTCAGAATAAATTAAGATATTAAATAGTATTTTACATAAAGCACTAAAAAGTACAATCATTCAAATTCAAAAATCTTTCAAATTACCATGACTATTCTACTTACCAAACCCTTTAAAGACTCCTGATCCAGGAGCTGGGGAAAGAGTCCTAAGAGAATCGTCCAGAAGGGAGTTTCTGGTGGCCAGAGACAATGTCACCAGAGATGAGACATAATGACAAGGTGTCACTTATGCACCGGGCACATGGCTTCCGTGGCACTGTGGCCAGAACAGCATGACCCGATTCCAATCGAGAGGAAACATCAGACACCCTCAAACTGAGGGACACGCGACACTACCACCGGCCAGCACCCTTCCGTCGTGTTTAGTCATGAAAGCCAAAGAATGACAGGGGCACGCCCTAGGTTTGAGGAGACTGAGGAAACTCGGTATCTCAGTGCAATGACTGATCCTGGGTTGGCTTCTGAGATGGAGAAACCGTAAAGGACGGATCACCGGCAAAAGTACTATGGGATGTAGATGAGCTTAGCAGTTTTACACGAGCGCTGATTTACTGGTTTTGATCTTTGGACTGGAGTTACATAAGATGTTAATATTCAGAGACGCTGTCTGAAGGGCTACGGTACTGCGCTGTTTTTAAGACACTTTTAGAAAGTCAACTCAAATAACAAGTTCGAAACATTGAAGAGACAAATTCCAGAAGGCCCGCGCCTGGCCCACCCGCAGACCCCGGCCCCGCCAGCCGCGTCCACCCGCCTCGGCCCGGCGCCAGCCCCCGCCCGCCCGGGGCCCGCGGTGGGAGGGGTCGGCCCCGCGCTCCGCACTTCCGAGAAGCGCCGCCCCCGCCCCGCAGCCGTCGCCCGCCGCCCGCTCTCGGCGCCCGTCGCAGCCGTCATGGCCCGGGCCGCGCTGCCCGCGCTCCTGCTGCCGCTGCTGGGCCTCGCTGCCGTGGCCGCCGCGGGTAAGCTGCCCCTCGCCGTGCCCTCGCCTCGGCCCGCGCGCGGCCGTCGTCGCCCCCTGCCTCGCGCCAAAGGGGGCGCGCGGGGCCCGCGTTCCGCCTCCCTGCCCGCCCGGCGCAGTGCGCCCCCGCGGGCCCGGAGGTCTTGGGGGGGTCCGCCGGCACCGGGGCCCCCTCTTTCTCTCGCGCCAGGTCCCTGGGCGGGACCCCAAAACGGGGCTGAGTGCGCGGAGAGAGGAGGACTGAGTCCCACGGCGGGAGTGGTGTCAGAGCCTTGTGGGGGTGACTGGAGGAGCGAGGGGTTGGCCCCGGAGAGCTCCGGGCGGGCGCGCGGCCGGGATGGGGGGCTCCGGTGGGGCCGAGGCTGCGCGCGGCCTGTCCTCGCCGGCGGCGGTGTTTGTCCGCCTGGTTGGTGTTCAAGTCTGGGACACAGGAAAGCAGTTCAGCCAAATAACCCCTGAGTCGAGAGGGACGTGAGCGGGCGAGGGCTCGGGTTTCGCTCAAGTCTTGGGATTGAAAAATCGTGGGAGTGTGGTGCCAGTTGCCTCTGAAGAGACTGCACGAATAGTCATTTCCAAAGTTAACTCCTAAGGAAAACAGTTCTACCCGCATTTCCTATGAGTATGGAAAACAAAACAAAAACAGGATTTCCACACACGCGTGTTAAAACGATGACGGGGGCACTCTGGGGAAGACTTCCATCCAAAAATTCCGGGAATTAAAGAGCAAAGTCAACAAGAAGACCGTGCTCGGACAAAATGATTGTGCAAGCCACTTTCCCCCCGCGTCCCAGCAGTTGATGTGCGCTCCCGCTGGAAGCCTGCTGCGGGGCGCGCGGGCGTGGAGGCGGCGCGCTCACCACCTGCGGCGTGCCTGCGCGCTCTCCGCAGCTCTCCTGGACGCTTTTGCGGACCCGCGATTGTGACCAGTTGTGCCATCTGCTGCCAACTGGAGGAGCAGGATGAAGATGGGCTGCTGCTCCCGCCGTCTAGACTGAGCACCTGCGTTTTGTCCAAGACAGGACTGGCCTCAAGGCTGGGCAGGCTGAGCTGTTTCTGGAGGGTGTGCGCTCCGCTTATGCATCCCCAAACCCTCCCCTGCTATAATGGGAGTGCCCGTTTGACCCACCCTCTTGGCTGCCATGCTGTGCTTGAGACTTGTGGGGAAAATACCAGTTTCTAGATTTTTTGATATCCCTCTTATTCAGTGAAGCTACTTTGAGCAGCAGAAGACAGACTTTTCTGTGGAAAGTTTTGTTCTTTTCCTTTTCCGAGTCCATTGTGGATAAATGGGCGTTTGAAGGGCTTTAGAAGTGTAGACATTGAATAAATTAATGCTGTTAATCGCCTCCTCCTGGTCAGGGGGCTTTAAAGATTAATTTAGAAAGCACATGAGCTTTGGCCTTGGTAGTTACCCAACTTATCTGCACTTAAGTAAAATGGATATAATACTCACAGGGCTTTTGTGAGCAAGCATTAAATGAGAAGCCTGTGTCTGGTGCCTTTGTCGGGCATGCTGTCTTGGTTTCCATCCCTTTGTTCTCTTAATACAAAACAAGAGGAAATAACTGCAACTAGGAAACTTGAGTACCACTGCATGTGTATTGGATGTTGATGTTCATTGGGCAGTCACGTGCCTGATGGTATAGGGGCTGAAAAACTACTTACATGTTTTTATCATGGTATCTCACTAATAATCTATCCAGACAAGATCAGGAGTCAAGAGCTTTATTGAGGTTATCATGAAATTAGCTGAATAGCGAGATCTTTTTTTTTTTTTAAAGATTTATTTATTTATATGAAGGAGTTACACAGAGAGAGAAGGAGAGGCAGAGGGAGAGAGAGAGGTCTTCCATCTGCTGGTTTATTCCCCAGATGGCCGCAACAGCTGGAGCTGCACCAATCTGAAGCCAGGAGTCAGGAGCTTCTTCTGGGTCTCCCACACGGGTGTGGAACCCAAGGACTTGGGCCATCTTCTACTGCTTTCTCAGGCAATAGCAGAGAGCTGGATGGGAAGTGGAGCAGCCGGGACTCAATCTGGCCCCATATGGGATGCTGGCATTGCAGGTGGCGGCCTTACACACTACGCCACAGCGCTGGCCCCAAATAGTGAGATCTTAATACAAAAGCTCTTATTGGAATTACTTTTTTAAAAAATCAGTGTTGAATTGGAAATCATCATTTTTGTTCTTGATTACTTTGGAGTTTATTAGTGAAAATGATCTTATGTTGATCCTGAAAACCACAATGGACAAAACTTTCTTTAAATTCCTTGAACAAGATTCCATTGTATTCTTTTTTGTTAGTTTGCTTTTTATTTTTATTTATTTATTTATTTATTTTTGACAGGCAGAGTGGATAGTGAGAGAGACAGAGAGAAAGGTCTTCCTTTGCCGTTGGTTTACCCTCCAATGGCCGCCACGGCTGGCGCGCTGCGGCTGGCGCACCGCGCTGAACCGAAGGCAGGAGCCAGGTGCTTCTCCTGGTCTCCCATGGGGTGCAGGGCCCAAGCACTTGGGCCATCCTCCACTGCCTTCCCAGGCCACAGCAGAGAGCTGGCCTGGAAGAGGGGCAACCGGGACAGAATCCGGCACCCCGACCGGGACTAGAACCCAGTGTGCTGGCGCCGCTAGGTGGAGGATTAGCCTATTGAGCCGCGGTGCCAGCTGTTTTTTTATTTTTTTAAATATTTATTTGAAAGGCAGAGTTACAGAGAGGGAGAGAGGTCTTTTGTCTGCCGGTTCACTCCACAGATGGCCACAACGGCAGGAGCTGCGCCAATCCAAAGCCAGGAGCCAAGAGTTTCTTCCAGGTCTCTCACGCCATCTTTTACTGCTTTCCCAGGACAAAGCAGAGAGCTGGATTGGAAGTGGAGCAGCTGGGACTTGAACCAGTGCCCATTTGGGATGCTGGCACTGTAGGCAGCGACTTTACCCATTACGCCACAGTGCCAGCTAGATGGTCAGTACATGTTCATCAGGTTAGTGATTTCCTGTGGGTTAGCTGGAAGGAGTGAATCAAAGGCATGTTTAGACTACATCTTCATTTTGTGGTCATCTTGTAGATCAGAATCCAGGTATCTAATTGAACAGCTGGAAGGTACAACCATGGTTGGGTACCCCTGCCTTTCTCCTCTCATATCTTACCACCCTTCCTGCATTTTCTCTCTTCATCCACTCAGACCATCTGAGCACATGAACACCTGTTGGACCTTCTTCACAGACCACCTGCCCCACCCCCATCATTCAGGTCGTTATTTGTGGGTTACCTCCTGGGGCTGTGCCTGAACCCCACAGGCCTTCTTTTTCACATCTCCATGATTTATCTTCAGAGCACTTCCGAGAGCATCTTGTTTGTTCATGTGTCTTCTGGTGTGGCTCATCCTACCAGGAGGGAGCCCTGCGGCAGCAGGGATTCTACTTTCTTGCGAGTTTTTTTTATTTTCACTTTTTTCTTTCAGATTATGTTACCCCTCCCATGAACTCATCTCATAATTGAAATCAAAGCATTAAATCCTTTAAATCTACTGATGCCACTTTCTCTGACCTGTGTGGATGGCACAGCTATATTGCAGGGAAATTATTTCAGATTAAATATTGTGTTTTTGTAAATTTTGAAATTTTCTATTTTTCTTCCAATCAAAAAGCAGAATTACAGTTAGGTATTATTTCAGGACTTCTTTCACTTTTGAGATACTTTTTAACAGTTTGCATATGTGTTGAAAACTAGTTTTGGGCGGGCGCCGCGGCTCAATAGGCTAATCCTCCACCTAGCGGCGCCGGTAGACCGGGTTCTAGTCCCAGTAGAGGTGCTGGATTCTGTCCTGGTTGCCCCTCTTCCAGGCCAGCTCTCTGCTATGGCCTGGGAGTGCAGTGGACGATGGCCCAAGTGCTTGGGCCCTGCACCCCATGGGAGACCAGGAGAAGCACCTGGCTCCTGGCTTCGGATCAGCGCCATGTGCTGGCCGCAGCGCGCCAGCCGTGGCGGCCATTGGAGGGTAAACCAACGGCAAAAGGAAGACCTTTCTCTCTCTCTCTCTCTCTCACTGTCCACTCTGCCTGTCAAAAAATAAAAAGAGAAAGAAAGAAAACTAGTTTTGTAATTTTTCATTGTAAATATTAAGTATTTCATTCCTTTTGTGGATTAGTATAGATTTTGAAGATAAATCTCACAACCAAATCTGTAAAACAATGGGCCAGTGATGTCCTATGAGAAATCTGCAGATGAGCACTGGCGTGCTTCTCTATGGGTAAATATGACAGCTGTTTGCAGGGAGAAGAGGGAGGTGGACATCTTGGAAGCTGGGTGGGGAAAGGAGAGGCGGAGACTGTCAGAGAGCTCCATTTCCTTGAAACATGGGGAGATCGCGCAGCCTAAAGTAGCCTTAGAAGCTTCTGGATAGTCAGGGATCTAGAACAGCTAGCTACAAACATAGTGTGTACATATCCTGTGCATAGGAAACACAATGAGCAGCTCTCCTTTCTGGATCTCTGCAGATGACTACTGCTATCATTATGGGAGAGGAGCAAAGGTCTTAGTATTGACAAGGAAAAAGAAAATCTTTGCCCTTTGTTAATATTTAGAACAAGTATGTCCCAAGGATCACTTCCTCTTGTGCTGTGCCTGCTGGGTAAAAAGAAGAACTTACAACAGAACAGCAAGTTCTATTAGATTTATCTGGTCATGCAAAATATGCCTGTGATTATGACATTTTATTCACTTAGCACATGGTAATTTTAGGCAGAGGAGCTATTACAGAAACTTTAGGAGTTATGTTAAGTACAGCTTTTAAAATTTTTATCAGACTCCTAAATTTCTGTACATATTAAATTAATAGAATTACAAAATTATAAATCCCTAAAGAGTCACTTAGCTGCATTATTAATAACAACCTATATTTTAGGACTGCTATGAGGAAGTAGAAGCAATAGAAAGTCACTTTGTAGAGAGTTTTGTGGGTAGGTTTTTAATCATTTCAGGGTTATAGCAAAGATACTTAGCTTT